GGTTATCTGCTTGTGATTTTAATATTAAAATTACTAAAATAGGAATAAACACTAACACATTTAATTTATCACTATAATTATACATTTAATTAATGTACTATATAATTAAAAATACGTTTTACGAATTCGTATCAAATTAAATTTTTTAAAAAGAGTTTGATTCTAACAACAACAGCAAAGCAAAATTTCTTTACTACAACACTTTTACAAATACTGAATATAACTCTCCTCTTTAATTAAAATATACCAATTGTTGTTTATGTAATGTATTAAAAAATTGTATTTATAACAAATGTAATATTATTTAAATACGACAAGTGACCATTAAAAACAATTTTTAAACGATAAATCATGACTTGGTCTCTTCAATGATTTTATTGACCAGCTCTTCGCCGTATCCGAATTGAGCAAGGTACTTCATTGCTTTTTCCTCAAGCAAAGCCCACTCGACTTCTCTATCAGCATAATACTTTCTCAGTATCACAATTGCAATTGCTGTTGTTACGCATTGTGTGTCCACTTTTTCATTCACAAATTTTTTTTGAATTGGTTCAAATTCATCAAAAATAGAGATAACATTTTCAAATCTTCCATCAAATTTTTGTTTGTTGATTAACTGATTATATTTATACTCATTTTTATCGGTATCATCGACGTCTTTTTTGCCTCTTTCTCTTTCCGGTTTATAACGGGAAGATCGGGTTGGCGGTACAAACTCATAAGCTCCTCTAATAATAGTTGGTTTGGATTGATTGTGTTCTATTTGACTGATATCAACTTGTTTTACTGAGTCTGTCTCCACTTTAGTTGACTTGTCTATTGCAACAAAAGTTGTGTATTTAGACAGGACGTTGTATTTTAGTGACAATTTCACACACTTCTCTTTCTCCTCTTTCGACTCCAACACTTTCAATTTCTCGAATGCTTTAAATTGTCCCAGAATGGTGTCTTTAATTCGTACCTTTTCGGTGGACGTCAATGTCACTTTCTTCTCTCCAACATTTCCAGTTAACGTCCCCTCAACTTTTGAGTCACTTGTTGTATCGAAGAACGCAAAAGTCTCTTTGTTGAAGATCCCAACAACTTCTTCACTTTTCCCGTCTTCAAAAACACCGGTTGTGAGTGTCACTTTCCCATTTTTGATTGCAGGCAACAAGACCTTGTTAGTAATTTTTGAAAGTTCTCTTCGCAAATTTTTGGTGTCTCTGACTACAACAGAAATGCCACCACCCACATTTCCAATGTCTTTGATTAAGTCTGAGTCGACGCCGTTGCCAAGTCCAATGCAATGGACTATCGCCTTTCCTCTGTTGTCTTCTAAATACTTGAGAATCTCAATCTTTTTATTTTGCCTAACCTGTCCGTCTGTCAGTAAAATGATTTGACTTTTCTGTGCCATCGCACTTTTTAGTGGTTCCAAGATGTTTGTTCCGCCATAGTTGCTTTCAAAATTCTCGACAGCTTTCGACGCAAAGTCAAAAGAAGTCTCGTCGTATTTTTTGAGACCAGAAAACAGCGAGTCAAATTGTGACCCAAATGAAATGATGTCAAATGTGCTGTCTGTTGGAAGTTGTCGCAAAAAGAGTTGTAAAGCACTCTTGAGAGACTCAATTCCTTTCCCACACATACTCCCAGATCGATCACATATAAAGATCACATCAACTGGTCCAACCTTCTCGTCACTCATAAATACAGACAAGCCAGTCTTCTCCTCGAGGTCTTCATCGTCTGTGATGTAAATCCCATTTTTATTTTACCGAGTTGTATCGATGTGATCTCACCCAACTTCTTTGTAAAAGTGCTTTTGGGTGATGAAATATCACCAACATACTCGATCGTAACTTCAGCATCAGTTTCTTCTTTTTTAGTTTTAGTTGATGTAAGAACTAAATTGTCGTCGACAACGGAAAGGGCGTGTGACGTATATTATTTTACACTCAGCAGTTTTGGTTGTGTCCAAATTGCCTAGTGAAAGAATGAGAGTGCGATCATCTGTTTTCTGGATGTCTGAAGTCGAATATCCAGAACTTTTTGCATCTGCTATTTCTTTCTTAGCAGCTTCAATCTCTTTGAGCGACGAGATCACCTCTATGTCGTTCACTTTGTATGAGTACCCAACTATGGCACTCTGGTTGTCATACTCAAAGCTGGTTGAAAGGTCAATTGGTGTTGGGTTTGTGTTAGTCACAAAGTGTGTTGCAGTCACTCTTGCAAAGCACCCAATCACCTCAATGTTGAAATTGATTTTTGAGAACGTGACAAGGGATGTTTTTTGTTCTGGTGAAGCCAGTTTATTAATAAGTTTGAAGTAAAGCAACATCTTTCTTTTTAAAAGATGTTATAACCTTATATTATGAGTTATGAGGTTTTTGATTTCCATTAACAAAAAAATATTTGTTAATTAGGAATGATGTTTAGTTAAATTTGTTTTGTATTTTTTGGCATTATAAATATTTATTTACAGTCAAAGTCACTTATTTGTGGGTTTTCTTGCACAAAAAGCTGTCTATTTGTAGGTTTTGCTAAGAATTTGGAAGAATATTCTTTGATTTATTCTTATTATCAAAAATTAATAAAAATAACCATAATTTTAGTTTTTAGTCTTTTACTAAAGTCTGCTTGTAAATGGTTGTCCACGTGACAAAATAAATACACAAAATAAGCCTTAAAAAATAGGAATTAGAAAAAAGTTGGGAAACCAAATAAAATTAAATAATAGTGTTTTTGGAGATTTTTCAACAGTTTCCCATAATATTACAATTTTAATGGTCCAAATTTTTATTATTATCGTTTTTAGACTGATAATATAATTACAGATACGAGTCTAAAGTTTCGACGAATACTAAGATTTCGTTTTATTATTTGAATACTATTTGAATAATAATGAACAAGGTTTTTAATTATTTTCAAAAAAACGTCCAAATACAATTATTATAAATAATTTATACAATGGTATAAAAATTATTAATTATTAGACGAAACCTCAGTACCACATATGTAATTATCAATCAAAAAATATTATTAATTATAGTATTTTTTAAATAAAATATAAAAACAATTATTAAATATTGAAACCATTATAACAGAAACTTAAAATAATTAAATTAAATGAGTTAAAAAAATACAAAAGAAGTCTTATTCCATATTAGATTTTGTTTCAGATACACCCAAAAAATAAAGTTATTTTAATTTATTTCAATTAATTATTCAGTTTCGAGAAGATACAACCTATTTGTATGTTTTGAATTTGATTGGTCAGTTAACCCACAAATAAGCGACTTTGACTGTATATAATTGCTCTTAATTTTTGTAGAAAACTAGAAATAAAAATGAATAAACAATTTAAATAAAATATATTATGTATATTAGAATTATAGTATGTAAACAATTAAGATGATATTGGGGATAGTTTTTTAATTTTATCAATGTCAAAAGTTTACATTGACTCTATGGAAACTGAGTATATGTTCATTGTTAATAAAAAGTTTGAAAAACGCATTTTACAATTTGTTTGTGTACATGTTTTATTGACATTTTTTCCTACCTTGGGGTGAATCCTTTGTTTAAGAGCAAAAACAACATTGAGTCGACCGAGTAAAAAATAAAATGACATTAAGACGCATAAAGAGTTGAGAGGCAAATTTAAACTTGATATTGGTTACAATAATTATAATCTTTTGATTTATAACAAAATCATAAGATATTATTATAATAATCATATTTATAATAATAATAATAAAAACTGATAAAAAAAATACAATTATTAAAAATATAAATTGATCACAATGATAACAATATTTTGTTGAGCGACGACGGAGTGTTTGTCGAAAAGATAACGGTTGACAAAAATCGAACCTTATTTATTTCACATTGCAATAACATTAAAATGGAACTAAAATTCAAAAATGTTGTTTAACCACTGTTGAAACCTTTCAATTTGTTTATAGTTTGTAAATAATTACAAAAATTAAGAATGAATTACGACCTTAAACTCTTATAAAAATAATGGTTTGTGTTTTATTGGAATATAAATATTGGCAACAGGAAAAGTGCTAACAATTTAAATTAATTCCAAAATGGCAATCAATTTATTTTTTCGTTATTTTTTGTTCAAATCTTGAGGATTATGTCTCTGTTGTTGTAATATTTTTGAATAAGATATTGTGTGTCAAAATATCCCTATAAAAATGAAACAGGTTTACAGTGGTTTTATAAAGAAAAAACAAAATAAACATTTTTATGGTTTTTGAAAAAAAAATAAAAAATGAATGTGATAATTATTTATTTTTATAACTATTGAATTTATATTTTATTAACAAATATTAAGAATTTTAAGAATTTTTAAATATTTAAACTGTGATTTTAATCAGATGTTTTATAAAAAACAAATCTATAAAACAAACTATAAACACATTTAATGAGTTTTCCAATTTACTTGTTCAGAGCTTGTTTAGTAGGCGCAACACATACTGGTAAAAGTACATTATTAAAAACTCAAAAAGGTGTTTTTCAGCAAAAAGAAGAATACATTAGAACAATTGGTGTCGATTTTTTAGTTGGTTTTTTATTTTGAAAATAAGAATATTTATCATTAGAAGAGAACTTTTATGGTTGACCGTCAAGTTGTATCTATGATTC